TATACAGCAGTGAATAATTTCGGTCATGATGTAATGGCTTGTAATCATACGGCGACTTCTGAAGTGAAATCAGCATTTTATAATGCAGTTTGAAGTCTTACGGTGAAAATACTCGTACATCACGACATCTGGTAATAGCAGGAAGTTTCATATAAGGTTTCTGCTCATTAAAGCGGATGCCGTACAATCCAAAATCTTTGCAAAAAAAAAAACTCTGCTGTCACTTTAAAAGCACTCTCATTCACTGGCAGTTGTGGAAAAGACTGGCAGTTGGCCATTTTCACATAGGCTGGCTTGACCCCACTGCAAGCCTGAAAATAGCAGCGAGCAGATGCTGTAAAAGCAGAGGCAACCAGAAATGGCTTTTCCACCAATGTCGGATTTCTTCTGAAAACAGTAAATCTTGTGAAGTTTATTTTCTTTGCAGCATCTGTGTTTTATAATGGTTATTTTAATTTGTTTTCTCTTTGTCCACTGGGATTGCTTTTATCCGGCACTTTCTGGCCTCTCTTTTTACTTACTTTCCTTCCCCCTCACCCCTTTTCCACTTGTAGTACTCCTCCTTTGAAAGTGTGTATTTTAATAATGATAGCTCTGGGAATTGGCACAGGCAGACTTGACATGACAGCGCCTTCCCCCTAAGTGCGGCGGTACCGCTATTGTTCCTTTTCCTCTCCACTCATCCCTCTTTTTTTTCCCCTCCTCCCCTCCCGTCCTAATCCCTACCTCCTGTGAACTACACTCTTACAGGAGCATGTCTGGGAAACCTGGACCAGTAAGAAATACATGAATGGGTGAAACAGAATATATCAAAGTATTCCCAAACCGGGAGAGCGCAACTTTTTTCTAGGAATTCAAGTCTTCCAGAGATGCTCCTAAAGCCTGGCGATTTCTCAGCGGTTGACACTTTGGAACGTCCTGTGATATTCCGTCCCCGGGAACGTTATTCGCATTGGCGGCCTTCAAGGTTGCATTTTTTTAATTCACTTCGGTGGTGATGCGATTACAAATGGGATGGTGTTTACTTAAGGATGTTTTATTTTTTTTTAGGATTATGTGTGCAAATGAACCTAATAACGAATGGAAAGCGTCAGCTTAGATGGATCGCTTGTGTTCATTGCTTTATCAGATGCAAATAGTACAGCTTGGGGGAGAAAAACAAGATATCAGTGACAGGGCGACCAGGTCTGTGCCATTAGAAGAAAATGCAAATGGAGCGGAGTGAGAGGGTCAGGTGACAGAGGGTGACCCTGCCGGCCTCTTGGAGTTAGGCCTGCGACGGCTGTGGATTTGCATTGATGGATCTTCTTTCCATTGGCTTGTCATGTATAAATACGTATATTGCTATTATACAGCAGTGAATAATTTCGGTCATGATGTAATGGCTTGTAATCATACGGCGACTTCTGAAGTGAAATCAGCACATGGAACGAGGGGAAACAGAAATTGTACCATTTTATAATGCAGTTTGAAGTCTTACGGTGAAAATACTCGTACATCACGACATCTGGTAATAGCAGGAAGTTTCATATAAGGTTTCTGCTCATTAAAGCGGATGCCGTACAATCCAAAATCTTTGCAAAAAAAAAAACTCTGCTGTCACTTTAAAAGCACTCTCATTCACTGGCAGTTGTGGAAAAGACTGGCAGTTGGCCATTTTCACATAGGCTGGCTTGACCCCACTGCAAGCCTGAAAATAGCAGCGAGCAGATGCTGTAAAAGCAGAGGCAACCAGAAATGGCTTTTCCACCAATGTCGGATTTCTTCTGAAAACAGTAAATCTTGTGAAGTTTATTTTCTTTGCAGCATCTGTGTTTTATAATGGTTATTTTAATTTGTTTTCTCTTTGTCCACTGGGATTGCTTTTATCCGGCACTTTCTGGCCTCTCTTTTTACTTACTTTCCTTCCCCCTCACCCCTTTTCCACTTGTAGTACTCCTCCTTTGAAAGTGTGTATTTTAATAATGATAGCTCTGGGAATTGGCACAGGCAGACTTGACATGACAGCGCCTTCCCCCTAAGTGCGGCGGTACCGCTATTGTTCCTTTTCCTCTCCACTCATCCCTCTTTTTTTTCCCCTCCTCCCCTCCCGTCCTAATCCCTACCTCCTGTGAACTACACTCTTACAGGAGCATGTCTGGGAAACCTGGACCAGTAAGAAATACATGAATGGGTGAAACAGAATATATCAAAGTATTCCCAAACCGGGAGAGCGCAACTTTTTTCTAGGAATTCAAGTCTTCCAGAGATGCTCCTAAAGCCTGGCGATTTCTCAGCGGTTGACACTTTGGAACGTCCTGTGATATTCCGTCCCCGGGAACGTTATTCGCATTGGCGGCCTTCAAGGTTGCATTTTTTTAATTCACTTCGGTGGTGATGCGATTACAAATGGGATGGTGTTTACTTAAGGATGTTTTATTTTTTTTTAGGATTATGTGTGCAAATGAACCTAATAACGAATGGAAAGCGTCAGCTTAGATGGATCGCTTGTGTTCATTGCTTTATCAGATGCAAATAGTACAGCTTGGGGGAGAAAAACAAGATATCAGTGACAGGGCGACCAGGTCTGTGCCATTAGAAGAAAATGCAAATGGAGCGGAGTGAGAGGGTCAGGTGACAGAGGGTGACCCTGCCGGCCTCTTGGAGTTAGGCCTGCGACGGCTGTGGATTTGCATTGATGGATCTTCTTTCCATTGGCTTGTCATGTATCACTGCGAAGGCCATCACACATGAGTCATTAATCAAATGACGGCTCCATAAGCAGTATCGTTTTGACTGGCCAGGCGCCTTGCCTCTCTCGGACGTGCCATTCTTGAGGGTTTCGGCCAAGCCTGCCACACTAGTGTTGACGTCATGCGGCGGCTGAGTTTCACATCATCCCGTGCGAGGCGTCTGCTTTTTGAGGGCTTAAGCTTTGCCACCGTGACGCTGTTTGCGTGCGTGTCTGCGAGTGAGTTGGGTTTTGATTTAGTGGGGGTTAAAAAGTGCGCCGAGACGGAGTATGTCCTTCTTGGAAAGATGCTAAATTCATTAAGATTTTTCTTCCTCTACTCCTCGTCTTTGTCCATCAGAAGCACCATTATGGGTTTTCAGGCTGCTTCCTGTTCAAATTCCTTTTCTTTTCTGCTGCTCTTGCACACAAAAGGTGGCTGCGCTTGGGGTGTAGTGGTTTTGAAATGTGAAGGGCCCTTAAGATCCGGGCCCTGTGTGGAATGGCGCAGGGGTTTGTGTAATGTCTTCAGCCAAAGCAGGCCTTTATCGAGGGCCATGAGGCCTAAATGGCCTCTCTTTGGTTAAGCACAAAGACAGCATTTCTGGGTATTAGAGAGACACAGAGAGGCTGGCTAATGATCTAAAACCCCTCCAACACTGTGGCACGGCCGCTCTCAGCGCTTTTGCCCTCAGATAATCACTGTTTTGTGTCTCAGGTATTTCTCCGATCCCCTGAATACCCTCTTCCTGGCGATATTACAATGGAAGCAAGGAAAATGTTCGCTGAGATTATTGGGCTTGTCTGAAATATTGTACATTGAAAGGGGAAAATTAGTGCAGGTAAACAAAAAGCAGCACTTGAACTTTGTGTGGAATATTTGTGTTAGGTACATCTGCACTATATTGTGTTTGCTTTTTTAAGAAGTGCATGGAAGCATGGATCAAATTGATGCCTCCTGTACTAGTTGGAATAAAAAGCAACACATAAAAAATCATGAAAACTGATGAAAAGTGGATAATTAAGGGGAGAGCTGTAGAAACCATGTATCTGTTTATTTCCCTGAGAGGGTATGCTATATTATGAATTCTTTATATGTATTTTAGCATGATCGGAATGCTGAACATTCAGCATTATTTTTAAGAAAAGACTTAACATATGCTGTTGATTTAAAGGATTAGTTCACTTCCAGAAGAAAAAAAATCCTGATAATTTACTCACCCCTATGTCATCCAAGATGTTCATGTCTTTCTTTCTTCAGTCACACAGAAATTAATTATTTCTTTTTTTGAGGAAAACATACCAGGATTTTTCTCCATATAATGGACTTCAATGGTGAAACCAAAATGGGCCGAAGGTCCAAATTGCAGTTTCAATGCAGCTTCAAAGGGCTCTGCATGATCCCAGCTGAGGAATAAGGGTCTTATCTAGCGATCTGTCATTTTCTTAAAAAAATAATAATGTATATACTTTTTAACCACAAATATTCGTCTTGCACTAGCTCGACTTCACGCATTATGTAGTCACGTTGGAAAGGTCACACGTGACATAGACGGTTTTTACAAAGCAAACGTGCAAAGAAAGTCAAAAAGGTGTAAAACAACAATGTCGGATGATGGAGTTTTTTGCCCTACCCTATCTTTTTGAACCGGAGTACACAGACGAAGAGCTAACCACACGTGATCTTTCTAATGTGATTACGTAATGTGTGCATTTGCGGACACGCATCGTGGAACTAGTGCAAGACGAGCATTTGTGGTTAAAAAGTATATACATTTTTTTTTTAGAAAATGGCCAATCGTTTCGCTAGATAAGACCCTTATTCCTCAGCTGGGATCGTGTTGAGCCCTTTGAAGCTGCACTGAAACAAGTTTAAAATAACAATTTTAATATATTTTAACATGTCATTTATTGAGTTTTTTTCAGCAGCCATTATTCCAGTGTCCAGTGTCATATGATCCTTCAGAAATCATTCTAATATGTTGATTTGGTGATCAAGAAACTTTTTTATTTTTTATTATTATACATGCTGAAAACAGTCGTGTTGCTTTTTGTGTGTGTGAAAGAGTCTCGACTCAATGAATCAAAAGTTTAAAAACAACAGCTTTTATTTGAAATCGAAATCTCATGTAACATTATAAATGTGTTTACTCTTATTTGATTAATTGAATGCATCCTTGCTAAATAAAAATACTAACTTAAAAAATTGATGTAGTATATATGTGACCTAAAGATTTTTATTATTAGTACAAACTCCCATTTCTTAATTTTTTTTCCCTTTTTTTCACAGCCAAACTCACCAGTCAAGAATCCTATAACAACTTCACTAACAACAACATGGGTAACCCACGCCTGTCTCCATTACCCAGTTTGACGGTCGTGCTTCCACTGGCTCAAATCAAGCAGCCGATGACCTTGGGCACCATCACCAAGCGCTCTGGGTGGGTTTCTCCACACTATTTTAGAATTTAAAGGCATCAGTATGAGCCTTTTAATGTTATATTACAATACAAATCATGATAATATTAATTTTAGATTAACAATTGAATTCCAACTGAAGAGCAAGACAAATCCTCAACTCTCACAAATCATATCCGTGAAACTGAAACGTTTCTATATGACAATGAAAATGAATTGCTAATACTTGAGGCTATATTCTGGCTGGATAAGAAGTCTGCTACTTATTTGACCTACTGGTAGTCTTTTGTCATTTTGCCATTTGGTGAGTTGTCACTTCAAACCAGAGGTCTCAATGGAAATTACATTGCCATTTCAAGGCACAAGGTACTTAAAGTAGGTTATATCTTAAAACAAATTGATTCATGCCATCTGTTATACAGGTTATAAACAACAACTGTACACAATTATCTTTTGCTGCAGGACGGGCTGCGTTTGTCAAATGTTAAGCAGTTCAGCAAAATGTTGTTGTTGTTGTAAGTCACTGGATACGTCAAGACCATGAATGTTCCAGTCTTTGCTGGCGATAGCATTTCTCATTTGCGAGAACTGTGTCGTGGATTTGAAACATGGCATGAGTTTGCATGAACTCTTGACTCGTGCTAGAGCACTTAAGTGTCATCAAACCGTCATTTGCCAGATGATTGCCTGAATTTACACAAACATGCAAACCTGCTTTCTCCCGCATATGAATCTTTGCTGTACTCGGTCGTTAATTCCCAAGCCAGATGTATTACAATCACTGAACATACCATGCGGTCGCCCTCCATGTAACATGAACACGCCGGTAAAGACTGGTTGCCATATCAATGACTGCAGTGTGCATTTACATACTGACTAAACATAATTATGACTTATTCCAATTGTTTATTTTTATTTAAATGTAAAGTTTGAATGGGAAATTCGCTAACGAAACAGGCAGATTTATACAAGCCCTGCAGCTCATTGTCATGCAGAACACTTTGTGTTGAGGTTGTTTTGATGGCTCTCGCTCATCTAGTTTTGATTGGAAGAGTTGTCAAGCATGCATCAGTTTGAAGTTTGAATAATTCAGCCTTGTGTTTGGTTTAGTTTCTGGCTTTGGAGACCTTATATGCTCTCAGTGCCCATTTAAATGGCCTTTTTCAACAGACATGAGTCCAAGGCTGTGCATGGTGACAGAGTAGACGTCACTGTCTTCAAGTCCAGTCCCATTTCATCCCTTCTCTTTCTCTCCTTAGCTGAGGCTAGCATATGTGGTGGCAGACAAGATATGTCCTATGTTGTGCTAAACTGTGTTGTGTGTCTATGTATATGTCAGTCAGTCAGTCAGCTGTTTCCCCACACCCACCTGTCTCTGCTCATATTCTCTTTGCCCATCAACATGCCCAAAAAACTCTACCCTCAGATGTTCAGTACTCAGAGCTGTGGCTGGAGAATGGCAGAGGACCTGGCCACCACATGGGAGATCGTCCTCTTTACAGACAAAGTTTCTGTAATAATGCAAATGGACGCTTGGTGTCGTGGCTGAATCAAATGGAGAAAAGAAGGTTGAAACGCTTTTTACCCGAACTGTCTTGCCTCCAAATGAGCGATATTGGGCATTACACAGTGTTAATTTGAGTGCCTTTTAAGTGGTGTTAAGAACTTTCCAAAGCAGTTTTGATTTTGGTGGCCTGATCCAATTTGATTCCTAATTTAATTTTCTCGGTTTGATTTGGTCCCTACTTTTCAATTTATTTAGGTATATTTCAGTTATAATGTCCATTTTACTCACATACTGTATGTAAAATCAAAGTCTTTGTTAATGCTTTATACAAACTGATTCTAACTGTAAACTTGTCTTTTTGAGCTATTCATAAAAATTATTGACTTAAGAGTCAGGAATTGGTCCACACTGCTTTTCATTATTCTAGTATTAAATGTACAGTGGGGAAAAAAAGTATTTAGTCAGCCACCAATTGTGCAAGTTCTCCCACTTAAAAAGATGAGAGAGGCCTGTAATTTTCATCATAGGTATACCTCAACTATGAGAGACAAAATGAATAAAAAAATCCAGAAAATCACATTGTAGGATACCACTGTATATTGGTATAGTATTTATTATTTAAAATAAAAAAAACTTTTTTGTTGCGTTCTCTGTTTTAGTCTTTTGTCATTCTTTTATTTAAATATTTCTTACATTAAAAAATTAATTTAATTTGTCAATTTTAGTAATTTTAGTACTTCAACTTCAGCTTATTTTATTTCAATTATTTTCCTATCGTATTTTTTTCATTCAATATGTATATTTATGCATTTTGTGTTTCAGCTTTATTTCAGTTAACAAACTATTTTTATGTTTTTTTTTTCTTTAAACAATAACAACACTGTTTTGGATTTGCTTAAACGAACTGAGTGCTTTATTCAGAGTGCAAAATCACATTATGTACTTCTACGTTCTACTAGGTGCTTGAGTATATATTTTTTAATGTCTATTTTGCTAATCAAGTTTGATTTTTTTTTTCTCCAATCTGTAAACAAGTGGAATGGGCATAGGACACAACAGATTCAGATGGCCAACACTTCAGCTGTTCTCTTGATTTCAGCTGCCAAATCAGCCAGCGCAATGAGTTCTGATATCAGCCCTGATGACTCCATCTCCCCTTTTCCAAGTAACCTCCATTTGTTCTTTAATTCCTCCTCCAGATTCACTTCATCAGCCAGCTTAGTACCATTTTTAGACCATGTTTACTTGAATATTGATATAGTTAGACTGTTCAGAGTGCAAAATCACATTATGTACTTCTACGTTCTACTAGGTGCTTGAGGATATATTTTTTAATGTCTATTTTGCTAATCAAGTTTGATTTTTTTTTCTCCAATCTGTAAACAAGTGGAATGGGCATAGGACACAACAGATTCAGATGGCCAACACTTCAGCTGTTCTCTTGATTTCAGCTGCCAAATCAGCCAGCGCAATGAGTTCTGATATCAGCCCTGATGACTCCATCTCCCCTTTTCCAAGTAACCTCCATTTGTTCTTTAATTCCTCCTCCAGATTCACTTCATCAGCCAGCTTAGTACCATTTTTAGACCATGTTTACTTGAATATTGATATAGTTAGACTGTTGTGATGGTGCTAAAAGGACTTGAATCCCACTGATGCTAGTGGTGTTTCGGTCATGACTGAATGATCACTGTTTTGGTGACTTATTGCTCTCCTTAAATACTGACTATAACAGGAAATAGCATTAGAGTGTGGGCTTTGAAGAAGCATATTTTATGGAACGCATAATAGATGTTCTTTCTTGCTGTGGTGTGTGGTGGACTTCAAAAATGAGGTAGCAAAGCCCCTTGGGGTTGTTTTAGTCCTATGCAAATGTTTTAGTCCTATGTTTTACTTCTATTTGTTGTTTACACAGTTTTACCATTTATCTTATGCTCAACAAGCAACAAATACTACAATATTTTTGAAGGTTTATATTAGCATAGTATTTTTAAAAACCAAATCTCATAAAAGTCTTATTGACTTTTGCCTTTTTAAATATGTTTTACATGTACATTTTGAGGCTGAAAGAGGCAAAAGAGACACTGGTGTTGCTTTTCAATGGAAAGTGTCAGAGTGCACAGACAACACACGGACTAATAAACACTGTCATGTTTTCTTGCATTCGGATGCCTAATGTTTGAGAATGCAATTGTAGGTGATTATACCAAATCAATTAGATGACAGGTATTTCAAAATTATTAAAATAACATTTGAGATGGTGTGTAATGAGATTGGTGTGCTGGTTAGTTCAGTTATCCAATCACATGATTTGTTGAGGCAAAGTCACATGACTTTTTGATGCTTATTTATGATGCAGATTTATTCCGTAAATGTGTTTCCATCATAATTTCATGTGCATAACTAAATTGAGCGCATCTAGGTGGATGGAAGCATAGCTGTATACTCATTTGTCATCGCTTCCTCAAAATGCTTCTGCATTCTTGCCTTTTTTGGCTAAAAATTCATTCATTCTGTGGTTTTTACAAAATAATTTTGGCAGCTGTGGTTGTAAAACTAATTTACAAACAAGAAAATTTGAATGTAAACCTGTAAATTTAACAATGCACACTGCTACTAAAATCAGTTTTGTACCTTTAACATGTACTGACAACCACCATAATAAAACAGATGGTAAACGAGAACGCCACGTGAAGAGTCAAAGTTCTTCACAAGTAGCTTTTCCACAAGCTGAAGTAGATTCTAATATACAGAAGGTGCACAGAGTCAATAACACAAACACAAAACACAATCATGGTAACACACATGACACTTAAGTGCAATAAACATTCATTAAATACAGAAGATGTAACATAAAACCCAAATATACATGTACAACTGATTACAAAAACTATTAAGAAACTTTATTCAAACAAAATACTTTCAAATGTGGAGTATCACAGGGAATTCTGGGAATATCAGTTTACAGTTTTTGAATTTAAATTATATGTTGATTTGTTCTTTTTTTACTTTTAAAAACTGTACATTTAACAGCATTTTACTGCAAAATTACATGAAACTTCTGGTTAGATCTTTTACCATTTTTCCCTGTATATAGTACTGGAACTTACCGTTAACCTATTAACAGTTTTTTGTTCTGTAGTGTTTTTATAATATTTTACATTTAAAATTACACTCATTTTTTACAGTGTATTTAAAACTATTTCTCATGCCTCTTTGTAGATCTGTAGATATAAACATTTTAAGAAAAAACTAAACTAAACAAATTTGAACATCTTTTTGCTGGACAGATTTAGAATATTTGAATCACTGGGTTGAATCACACACCTCACCATTAACTGATGGTGTTCTTTCTTATTCGACTGTGCGTGTTGCTGGATGGCTGGATCTGACCTCACAGATGTGGTAGGCTTAGTGTAATACGTGAATTGAGCTGTTTTGGGCCATTGTCTCATAGTGCTATAATGACCGTACGAATAGCTTAAAGAGCTCGGGTGCTACCCAGCCATGTGACAT